CACATCCAAAAGNTTCTTTNTTTTTTTTTTTTTTTTTTTTTTTTTTTTTTTTGTTGTTGTAATGGAAAATCCCTTTGTTCCTGCCAGGCAAGGCAAGTCAGCAATGAGTAATGCTTCTTTTCCTAAAATATGAAACTAAACAAATTGAAAACTGACAAACATTTAAAAATAATTTGATAACAAAGGACTTTTGTCTCTGTTTCTGAGCACTTTTGCTTACAAACACAAACACACTCATGCATCATGCGTACAGAGAAGCAGGTCCAATCAGGCACAAATATGCAGAATTACAATTTATTCTGGAATGTGGGTGACACATTTCATTTGTTTTCTTAATCTTACTTTTTATTATTATTGCTTTATTTGTCACTGGTGTCATTTCCTTGGTTCCCTCTAACCATTTGTTTGTTATTTTGTCACTTATAGTTGTTATGGCCTCAGAAAATTAGACTCGTGTACTCCTAATCCAGCTCACATGACAATTTTAGAGTTACAGAATCTTAGTAACTCTGATCATGTTTAGCCAATCTAGTTTGTTGATATGGAGGTAAGTTATAACAAATGTCATGTCCAGGCATTTTACCAGTCAAACGAACCAAATCAGATCCAGAAAGGTGAGTCAAAACAATCTAAATGTACAGAAAGATTCAATTACAGTTCCATTTCTATTCAACATTAATTTAAAGTCAAATGTAAATTAATGGGTAACACTTTATTTGAAGGGGGTTGAATAAGACTGACATGACACTGTCATAAACACCTGTCATGAACATGAATAAGCCTTCATGAATATTTATGACTGTGGTCATAAAGTGTCATTCGGTAAATTATGACACTTTTAATACACAGTTGACATTATTCAAAATGTCTTTGTTATGACAACTTGACATTAACCAAGAAATCATTACTGACATAAATTTGTTATAAAATAATTACTGATTGTACTTTAAAAATTAGGTAACTTTATGTTATTAAAGGTAAAGTTTAAACAGTAATGATTTCCTGGTTAATGTCAAGTTGTCATAACAAAGACATTTTGAATAATGTCAACTTTGTATTAAAAGTGTCATTATTTACCGAATGACACTTTATGACAACAGTCATAAATATTCATGAAGGCTTATTCATGTTCATGACGGGTGTTATGTCATGTTTATGACAGTGTCATGTCAGTCTTATTCAACCCCCTTCAAATAAAGTGTTACCAATTAAGGTGTAGTTAAGCCTAAAAAATTGTTAATTAGGCCCAGATTCATGCTTAAAATATTTCGTTTGATTTACCAACATGCTTCTCATGAAGGCAGCTAAAGATTACAACGTGACCCTTAGATTTCAATATTTAACACTAATAAATTGTACATCTAAAAGTTGCAGGGCAGTGGCCCTCCCCGACTGGAGTTTGACACCTGGCTTGTCCTTAGGTGAGTGTGTTCATGGCTGTTTGTCCTCTCTCTGTGTTGGGCTGGAGAACTTTCCAGCCAAACACTAAAAATAACATATTTGTTTAATTAAAAAAAAAAAAAAAGAATTGTGGTATATATAAAATTGTTTTACGACTCGGTTTATGTCAGTTGTCGCAGTTTAGTAGCTGCGATACTTAAAAAAAAAAAAAAAAAAAAAAAAAAAAAAACCTCTTGCATGTCAAGAAAGGTAGAGCACATATTTCTGTAGTTACTCATGTTCAGCTCGGGATTCTCTTCGTCTTGGACTGAGTCGCTCACATCCTGTCCACTTGTTGTACATCGTGACAAACCAACACGGCGCTGCTCAGAAAAGGTGTGTCACCGGCGTGACGTCACGTCTGCTACCTGAGTTTCGGTGAGGAGGAGGAGAAGGGGTTTGAGGGCCGAACCGAGTGAGGGAGAAGCTGTATCGGCTCCTCAACGTGTTTAGTGGGATAAACGTTTATGTAGTCATTGTTTTTCATCGGCCTGCCTCGTCTGAGTTGACTCTACGTGGAGTGGGTCTGTGGGAGTTTGGACCCGCACACGGGACACGGACGGCTTCCTTCCCGGCTGCCCAACAAGGAAGGCTGACTCCTACTTCCTGCTTCAGCACAGGTAAGTTTGATCGTTTTTACAAAACGCGCTTCAATTTTCTTTGCTGTCGGTTTTCTTGCCGCATTATTACTGCTCGTTTAAAGATTCATGAATCTTTTGGAAGTAAATCAGTTGCACGGTGGTAACAAGTTAAAGGCCTCGCTGTCGGTCAGAGGGAAGAAGCCAGGCAGCTTCCATACGTTTGGAAAATCCGGATTTGCAGGATTTGTGTTGTTGCATTGTTTAGTGGTTTGGCAGTTTAGAAATTACACTCATAACAGGGCGGACTGGCTGGTTTATAGCCAACTGTGTGTTTTTTTTAAAGTCGCTTTAATTATATTTTTCTGTATTTAGTCGGCCAGGATGGCGGTCACCCCGCGACGCGTCCGCCTCAAGCCGTGGCTGGTGGCCCAGGTGGACAGCGCTCGGTACCCGGGTCTGGTTTGGGTCGACCGGGAGGCCATGCGCTTCAGGATCCCCTGGAAACACGCCACTAGACACACACCCCAACACGAAGACGAGGACACCATATTTAAGGTAAATATTTATTTAGATTGTCTCTGCTGAAGAAAAATCAGTTTGAAATGAGAAGATTTTATCTTGGGACTCACGACTATATATACTGATTATGCTTCATATATTTTTATTGTATTTTTGCTTGTTTGCTAATCAAGATATGCCAAGTTTTTGTTTTTCTTTTAGCTGTAGTTTCAAACAAATTAGTTTGTTTGGATGCCCCTCCCCCACCTGCTGCTGTGACTTCCAGTCTGTTGGCTGTAGGAAAGTTCCTGCCAAATTTACTCCGTTATGAACACAAATTCGAGTGTCTGGAAATGTTTTGGTTTGGAAAACATGAACTTTCATTGTATGTGAATCAACATCGCTTGCAGTAGCAGTGGTGGGGAGGCAGGACAGGTGATTTAAAAGTCTACCTGACCCTCTCATACCCAAATAAGTTAAATTCTGTGTCAATTTATGCTTTGGATGTTGGGCCAGCTTTTATCTGTCATGTGTCACAACAGCTTAATAAAACTCTTACATTGTCTCTACTTTTCACTGTCTGGCCACTCTATATGAAAATTTCAAAATCCAGCAGGTCCAGTAAATAAATGTAATATTGTTACAATAAACACCAACAAGCGTATCATGTGTCTATTTTAAAGGAAAGCATTTTGTGTGTTATAGCTTGTGTGAAATATTTTCTGTAAATACACATAAGCTGTGTTTGTGTGTGTGTGTGTGTTTTTGTTTTGTTTTTTCTGAAAGTTATGTTGTGATTTATTACAGGTTCATGAATAAAACCAGTGACGACTTAAATTAAATGTGTGTCTCTAACAATCAATTGTCGGCATCAGTCACTACCAAATATTTAAAGTATTTTTAAAAACATTTGTTTTATAAGGTTTGATTTTGATGGTACCTCTGTAAAGCTACCTGAGCCCAGAATATAGCCTGGTTAAAGTGATCACATGATCATTTTCATGTCTGATCACAGATTTTTTTATTCATTTTAGATTATTTAAAATGTCATTATTACAAGTCTTTAATTCAGTTGAAACACAACTTTTCCAACCCTTGCATTTATTTTGTTGCACGTCTTCTGCTTTTTGCACTTATTGTGATCAATGCAACACCAATCGGTGAATATTTAGAACAATGAGACGTTCTGGAACATATAAAAATGTAATTGATCTCGTTTCTGTGACTGCTTCGTCCAGGCGTGGGCTGTGGAGACCGGGAAGTTTCAGGAGGGAGTTGATGAACCTGATCCCGCCAAGTGGAAAGCCCAGCTTCGGTGCGCCCTGAACAAAAGCCGGGAATTCAAACTGGTCTATGACGGCACCAAGGAAGTCCCCATGAATCCCTTAAAGGTGTACGATGTCTGCGACATCCCACAACCCAACAGTAACCAAAGTACAAAGTTCTTCAGATGTTCTAGGGATTTTCATTGTTTTTCCATCTTTCAACGTTTCTGTTTTCCTGATAGCTCCTTCAGATGCAGGATCACATACTCCCTACGATGAGGATTTTGGAGAAGATCCCGACACACCAGATTCTCTTCCTCCATATCCATCCAATGGTGATTGTTACAGCCTTATATTGTTGCAAATACGAGGAGGAATTGATGGGAAAAAAAAACAAAACAATTCCTCTTTCCTCTTTTAGGCACCAGTCCTTCTCCACTCCTCATGTGGTCTCCGATGGGTTCCGATTCTTCCATGCAGCCTCCCAGCTGTCCACCTTCGAATGAGGTCTGGCCCAAAGAGGAGCCTGGTAAAATCTGGCCCAAAGAGGAGCCTGCAGATGTAGAGATGCCCCCCACAAACATGGATGAGCTGCCCCCCGCCCCTCTGCCCGACCCCATCCTGCAGCCGGCTCCTCTTTCCGAAGTCTTCTTTGCCTCTCCGGAAACGTGGATCAGCTCCCTCCCAAGTTAGTGTGAACAACTTTATCCCCTTGCAGAAATCAACTTTGTGTCACACAAATTGTAAGGGTTTAGAAAGACAAACCAGCATAAAATGGGAAAATGTATGGGTAAATATTAGTAACTGTTACTTCTGACTGCCACTTTGATTTTGATTTGTTTAATGACAGTAGGACTCTAAAGTTTCAAGTGTTTAGGGGGTAGGAGTTTATAAGTTCTCACTTCTTCCTACCCCATTTTGAGCATATGTTATTAACTGAAACAAAAAATCTGTATTTTCTCTTCTTTTTTATGCACTTCTTGTTACTGGGCACTATTTTATTTTTATATTTGTATTTGTATCATGTTCGAATAAAATTTTATTTCATTTCAAATTTGTTTTGAAAGTTTAGCTGCAGAATTCAATTCCAAAAAAAAAAAATCTAAATTTAGCAAAATAAGGTTTTAAAAACTGAAAAGGGCATGAAATGTTGATGCCTTTCTGGATCAGGTTCTCTAAAACAGATGGAAGTGATTTTACTATCCATCTTTTCTTAAATCATCCACAAACAGGTTAACTTTGCCAGATCATCTCTTTGTCTACCTGCAAGATTTTCTGTTTTTTTACCATCATATTTATGGTAAATTACTAAACTATCAGTTTATTAGGTCACACTTTAATAAATAATTTGCATGTATTAAAAACCATTGATCAGTCATTAATAGACTTGCTAAAGACCCAGTTTCCAGACCTTCTGGGAAATCATCTGAACATGGAGATTTACATCTGATTTTACAGTCCCTCATTTTACCGTCTCCAGTTTTTGTATTTTGAAAACATGAACTGCAGCCTCGGGGTACACAGTTGCACGTTGCCATGCAGAAGTGACTAAGCTTGTAAAAACCTGTTGAAGTGTTTTGTCATTCAAAACACTCCTCCTTTGAGGAGCAAGGTTTGCCATCTCGATCTCCACCAAGATCTCTTTCATGAATGCAGACTGCATGCAAGGTGGAGATGAGAACTCCTGCAAGCCCACTTAAAAAAAAAAAACAACTTTGTTGCACTTTTTGTATTTCAGGTCATGAAATGGGAGTTAAAAACAAATGGTGGTTTCAAGCCAGAATTATCCTGATCTCTAGGATCGTTTGGGGAAAATATACGACCGACAAACTGAAGAGACAAAAGTATTTTTGGAAGTTGTGCATCATATCTGGGGTAAAATCACCCCAGAAAAGTGACTATTTGATTTGGAGCTACTTTGTCTTAGGATCTGGGTGACTGGTCATATTTGATGGAAGCATAAGTTATGTATCAGAAAATCCTTTAGGTCAGAGGTTCCCAAACTGTGGGGCGTACCCCCTATTGGGGGCGCCGTGCCATTGTAGGGGGGGCGTCTGAATGGAAAAAAAATAAAATAAAATAAATAAAAAAAAAACATGAACGCTGCATGCGCTGGGTTTTTCCTATGTCAGTTTGATACAGTAGTGGCTACATTTCCCATATCTGTGTCCTCTGTCACTTTTATCAGCAGTTAAAACTGTTTAATCCATTGTTAACATGTCGTAACCTGTTCTTCCGAGCCGCCTTTAAACGCAACATGAGCGCTACGACGCTTGCGCTGGGTTTACACCTGTGAAGGAGACCTGCTGCTGCTGTGCGGAGCTACGTAGGTTTGTGTTAGAATCATGGCAGCAAACCAGCAAAACGCAAAGAACTTGTTTAATCCGTTGTTAACATGTTGTAACCTGTTTTTCCGAGCCGCCTATAAAGGCAACATGAGCGCTACGACGCTCGCGCTGGGTTTACACCTGTGAAGGAGACCTGCTGCTGCTGGGCGGAGCTACGCAGGTGTGTTAGAATCATGGCAGCAAACCAGCAAACGCAAAGAACTTTACACAGTTTTTCCCCCAAACTAACCGACTGTTGAGTAAAGCTGTTAGATACAGGTAAAGTTAGCTAAAAGATGACTAGCTAGTTAATGTCAATACATCACCTTAAGCTTAACAATTAGCCTGTAGGCTACGCTAGTGATGTTGATGTCATTTTGCCCCCCAAAAAGTTGTCGTCCCCCCCCGCTCTATCCCGCCCTGCCCCGTTAAAACATGTTCAACAAGACAACTAATTGTAATCCATAAGGGGGGCCCAGAAAATGTTTGGAAACCACTGCTTAAGACGATTACCCAGTTAATCTTTTTAGGTTTTTAAGCTTCAACTACACTAAGAGTAGATGGCCAAACAAAATGTAAAACACACAATCAGACTGGTCAACATGCTCAATGACACATTTAAGTTTGACCAAAAGTAAAAACAGAAGCTGGTTTCAAAGCAAATGCCCCCCCCCCCACTCCCCACAGCACTGTAAATCTAGTTGATCCCAGAGGCTCAATCTAACACGTAGTCTGTGAGATACCAAAGGGGATCCTTGCAATATTAAACCATCTCAGTTTAAAAATCTTATTCTTGGTTAAGACAAATGTTACTGAATCTTTCAAAGAGAGGGTGACGGGTATTGAATAAAAATAAACCTTTTTAGCTTTTAGTCATAACAATGTTCCATCATCAGAAACATACCTGGAGTGTTGCTTTGAGTCTTTTATCCCTTTTATCTCCCATAGCAACTATTCGGGTGCAAAAACACTTGCTCATACAAGGTGAAACCTATTTACACAAATGGCTTCCACCCGTTCCCACACCTTCCCCTCTTGGCTCCTGCAGACTAGCGGTAGCGATTAGCAAACACCTAGTGGAACTGCAGGTCTGCTAAGTTCATCATGCAAACTATTTCTTAGTCCAACACTCCTAAGAACGGATGTAAATGACATGGTGAGGAGCATTGTTGTGATGTTGTGCTGGATGCAGGGAGTCGGGAAGAACAAGACCTTCTTAAAGAGACAGACGCCCAATTTAAAGGTGTTAAACTGCAAAGTCAAATTTCTTTTAAGTCGTGTTTNTTTGCTTAAGAGATCCCGACTTTTCTCGAGACGCCGAGAAACTTTATCCGTATCAGGATCGGTACATAACGACATAATCACAGTGATGGAGGACACTCTATAGATGTATAGATTTTTATTTCGAGCTTGAGCATAAAGGCATCAAATCAGTCCTTGACATCAGACATGGTTTTTGTATAAGTGAGGCATCTGAAGAGGGTTTTCAGTGCGCGGGGACTCATTCGGTGCAAGTCCTATTCCGACTTAGTTTTGGTTGAATTTATTCATAACCAGCTGCAGAACCCTGGACAGCTACACGGTTACCGATGGATGTACGCTAAATGCAGAGAGCATGAACTTCGTGTGAAAAAATATGTGCGCTTGGTGTAAAAGGATCCCCAAGCGTGGCAGACGGAGAAATTACTTTTGTCTCTTTGCATTATGTCTTCCTTAGGGCCGCAGAAAATGATGCTAGTCGTCCATTTCGCGGGATCTCGAGAAAATAAGTCGGGATTTCTTTTCTCTTTTTCTCAATGGCTTCGTAATAAACGGCAACAAGCATATCCTGCGTCTATTTAAAAAAAAAAAAGCATTTAGCGTTTTAGACATTGTGTGATATATTTTCTGTAAATACACTTAAGCTGTTTTTATTTTTCCTGAAAGTTGTGATAAATAAAACTGGTGACTTAAATTAAATGTGTCTTTAACAATCAATTGTCAGCATCTGTCGCTACCAAATATTGAAGTATTTTTAAAAACATTTGTTTTATAAGGTTTGATTTTGATAGTACCTCTGTAAAGCTACCTGAGCCCAGAATATAGCCTGGTTAAAGTGATCACATGATCATTTTCATGTCTGATCAGATTTTTTTTATTCATTTTAGATTTAAAATGTCATTATTACAAGTCTTTAATTCAGTTGAAACACAACTTTTCCAACCCTTGCATTTATTTTGTTGCACGTCTTCTGCTTTTTGCACTTATTGTGATCAATGCAACACCAATCGGTAAATATTTAGAACAATGAGACGTTCTGGAACATATAAAAATGTAATTGATCTCGTTTCTGTGACTGCTTCGTCCAGGCGTGGGCTGTGGAGACCGGGAAGTTTCAGGAGGGAGTTGATGAACCTGATCCCCCCATGTGGAAAGCCCAGCTTCGGTGCGCCCTGAACAAAAGTCGGGAATTCAAACTGGTCTATGACGGCACCAAAGAAGTCCCCATGAATCCCTTAAAGGTGTACGATGTCTGCGACATCCCACAACCCAACAGTGACCAAAGTAAGTACAAAGTTCTTCAGATGTTCTAGGGATTTTCATTGTTTTTCCATCTTTCAACGTTTCTGTTTTCCTGATAGCTCCTTCAGATGCAGGATCACATACTCCCTACGATGAGGATTTTGGAGAAGATCGCACACCAGATTCTCTTCCTCCATATCCATCCAATGGTGATTGTTTACAGCCTTATATTGTTGCAAATACGAGGAGGAATTGATGGAAAACAAAAACTAATCTTTCCTCTTTTAGGCACCAGTCCTTCTCCACTCATGTGGCCTCTGATGGGTTCCAATTCTTCCATCCAGCCTCCCTGCTGTCCACCTTCGAATGAGGTCTGGCCCAGAGAGGAGCCCGCAGATGTAGAGCTGCCCCCCACAAACATGGATGAGCTGCCCCCTGCCCCTCTGCCTGACCCCATCCTGCAGCCGGCTCCTCTTTCTGACGTCTTTGCCTCTCCAGAAACGTGGATCAGCTCCCTCCCAAGTTAGTGTGAACAACTTTATCCCCTTGCAGAAATCAACTTTGTGTCACACAAAAATTAGTTGACTGAAATTTGTTTTGAAAGTTTAGCTGCAGAATTCAATTCCAAAAATAGTCAAAATTTAGCAAAATAAGGTTTTAAAAACTGAAAAGGGCATGAAATGTTGATGCCTTTCTGGATCAGGTTCTCTAAAACAGATGGAAGTGATTTTACTATCCATCTTTTCTTAAATCATCCACAAACAGGTTAACTTTGCCAGATCATCTCTTTGTCTGCCTGCAAGTTTTTCTGTTTTTTTTAACCATCATGTTTATGGTAAATTACTAAATCACACTTTAATAAATAATTTGCATGTATTAAAAACCATTGATCAGTCATTAATAGACTTGCTAAAGACCCAGTTTCCAGACCTTCTGGGAAATCATCTGAACATGGAGATTTACATCTGATTTTACAGTCCCTCATTTTACCGTCTCCAGTTTTTGTATTTTGAAAACATGAACTGCAGCCTCGGGGTACACAGTTGCACGTTGCCATGCAGAAGTGACTAAGCTTGTAAAAACCTGTTGAAGTGTTTTGTCATTCAAAACACTCCTCCTTTGAGGAGCAAGGTTTGCTATCTCGATCTCCACTAGGATCCCTTTCATGAATGCAGACTGCATGCAAGGTGGAGATAAGAACTCCTGCAAGCCCACTTAAAAAAAAAAAAAAAATTTTGTTGCACTATTTGTATTTCAGGTCATGAAATGGGAGTTAAAAATAAATGGTGGTTTCAAGCCAGAATTATCCTGATTTCTAGGATCGTTTAGGGAAAATATACAACAAACTGAAGAGACAAAAGTATTTTTGGAAGTTGTGCATCATATCTGGGGTAAAATCACCCCAGAAAAGTGACTATTTGATTTGGAGCTACTTTGTCTTAGGATCTGGGTGACTGGTCATATTTGATGGAAGCATAAGTTATGTGTCAGTTCATCATGCAAACTATTTCTTAGTCCAACACTCCTAAGAACGGATGTAAATGACATTGTTGTGCTGAATGCAGGGAGTCGGGAAGAACAAGACCTTCGTAAAGAGACAGACGCCCAATTTAAAGGTGTTAAACTGCAAAGTCAAATTTCTTTTAAGTCGTGTTTGATGGATGCAGCATTTTTATAACTGAAGTAGTAACTTGTTTGTGCCATTTCTGTGCTTTAGAGGATCTCTAATTTGGTGTCTGTCTGAACCAGTGACAGACTTGGAGGTCCAGTTCCTGTACAGAGGGAAGGAGGTGTCTCCCACCGTGACTGTGAGCAACCCGCTGGGCTGCAGGCTGTTCTACGGGGACCTGGGGCCCATGGTCAACCAGGAGGAGCTGTTTGGACCCGTGAACCTGGCACAGCTGCGCTTCCCGACCACGGAGCACATCACCAACGACAAGCAGAGGATCTTCACCAATCGGCTGCTGGATGTGATGGACCGAGGTCTGATCCTGGAGATCAGGGGCCACGATATCTACGCAATCCGCCTCTGCCAGTGCAGGGTGTACTGGTCGGGCCCCTGCGCTCCAAACCCAGCGGCGCCAAATCTGATAGAGCGGCAGAAGAAGGTCAAGCTCTTTTGCCTGGAGTCGTTTCTCAGCAGTAAGTAAAATTACTACTGAATATTAAAACGAGAGAGTATCTTTACCAAAGTAACACATTTAAAATGTTGATGCAGACCCAGAGGGTCGTCATTTGAACTTTTCTAAAGATTAATGCAATATTTTTACCATCAGAGGACAAATATCAATGCGTGTCATCTGTCCCCACAACCTATAGCGGCCATGAGGAATAGCAGTAATGGAGTCTAAAAATAATTTTCCAGTTTTGGACAGACTTTATTTCCTGCTTCTTTGTCCAATAGTTGGATTGATCTGTTTGTCCATCCATTAATCAACGCAGCATCCATCGATCCATGGCTGCTTTATTTGTCCTACAATTCTGTATCATCCATCTACACTTCAGTTCATCTCATGTTTATCTGCCCATGTTTTTATGACCCATTTATCAATTTTCCATAGTGAAATAAATCTGCAAAATAATTTAAAGTTCTAAAACGTTAGTGTGTAGGAACCCTGTGATGATGTTTTAGAGTAACATCATAACTATAGTTTTCCTTTATTTCTGTTATGCAGGTGTTATAGCGCAGCAGCGTGGCCAGGCGACCAGCCGTCCTCAGTTTGAAATCAGCCTCTGCTTTGGAGAGGAATATCCTGATGGAAGACCCAAAGAGCGAAAACTCATCATGGTCCAGGTGAGAAATACAAGAATTTAACTTGAATAATAGCCAAAACTAACAACTTATGTTATAACTTGTATTCAGTCCTAGTTTCATCTTGCCAAACCTCAAAGTTCAAATTGTATTTGTTTTTGTGATGGGACAATTTAGTTTTTTTTTTTTTTTTTGGTCTGCCTTCCTGATGACATGCTGTCAAGTAGTCAGCACCTAAATGTTGTGGAGAATTTATAATTTCATTTGACATGACAGTCCCTCTCTGAGCACATCTTGAAGGCAGCGCTTCAGGCGTTTTGCATGGGAGATTAAAGGATTTCCCAGACATGCATGAAATCAAGGAAACGCTGAATGTAACATTCATCAATGATTGTTGCATTCATCATTCATGGACAAATTCACCTTTGAATTTGTATTTTGCTCATGCAGACTGAACTCATTAGACTTTCCTCTCACACTCCTTGTTCATCCTTTCAGGTCATTCCTGTGGTGGCTCGGATGGTAAGCGAGCTGTTTTCCGGAGACAACAATCTTTCTTTTGACGGCAGCGTGCGCTTGCAGATTTCAATCCCAGATATAAAGGACAGTATAGTGAGCCATCTGAAGGAGGTGTACACCCTGCTGCAGAACCACCAGGGCCAGGCTCTGCAGTCAGTGAAGCTGTGAATCAACTATTGTGTACAAAACATCAGCTTTTTCTTGTGAAACTGTGCTATGCAGATGGCTGGTGGTTCTGCAGGCCAGTCAGTCCATCTCACTGCAGAGGAATATATATTGTAGAGAATAAAATCATTAACTTCTGGCTTGTCTTCTCTTGTCCTCCTGAATTCAATGATTACATGTGTGGAAATAAAAGCCGCATAAAAATGACAGTCAGTGCTCCACATCATACATTTTCAGAGTTTATCCTAACATTTAAAAGTATAAAATCACATTGACAACACACTAAAACAGACATTAATTTACCTGAGACAAATGGAAAAGGAGGTGGAAAGCAAAGATGTCTTTGGAGAATT